CGGCGGGGGGGCGGCCCCCCCTGCCTTCCGTCCGCCGCGGCTCCAAGGCGGTCACCCGGCACTGGAAGGCCATGCATTTCCAGCGCCAGAAGCTGATGGCCGTGACCGAGTACCTGGCCCCGCGGCCGGCCATCCCGCCGCGCTGCCTGGCCCCCAGGAAGGAGAGGCTGGAGGAGGTAATTTATAACGGCCGTGGCGGTGAAATAACGGCCGTGGGGCCTCGGTGTCCGAGGGGACCGAGCGGCTTTGCGCACCCCGTGTGTGCGCTTTGCTCCGGGGACTCGACACGGGGTCCACAGCTCCCACCGGGTGCGGGACAGAGCTCCGGGACAGCCCTGCCCCGGGGTTAGCCTGGCTGGCCGCCGGTGTGAGAGCTTTCCGGGGTGTTTGCTGCCCCTTTTCGTCCCGCTGTGGGTGGCTGGGAGATGCCCCAGTGGGTGATCAAGTGCTGGAAACCAGGTGAGTCCCGGCCCGGGGCAGGGTCTCCCGGCAGCAGATCGGTTTGCCGGGTCGGAGTGGGGGGAGGCAGCAGTCTTTGCCCCTTCCCCACGGCCCATCGCTGCTCGCTCCCTTCAGGACAACAGTTACGTCCGGCTGTTACAGCGGCAGGTGGAGGAGGTGTTCCGGGACAATCGGATGATTGTCATCTGTCAGTACAACTCCATGCCCGGCGAGGACGTGGTGCTGATGAGGCACTACCTCCGAAAGCACAACATTGAGGTCAAGTTCATCCTGAACGAGGTAGGGGCAGAGCTGCTGGGGCCAATCCCGGTGTGAGTGGGTGGGGGAAGGCAGATGAGAGCTGGGATGACCGTGCGGTGCCTGCCGGGGTGAAAAGCTGCATTTTGAGAGCTGTCTCCCCCAGATCATCAGACCCGTGCTGTCCCAGTCCAAGTACAAGAATCTCCTCCCTCTCTTCGTGGCGCGCAATATCCTGCTGGTGAGCCGGGAAGCGAAGGTGAAGGAGATGCTGCGGGTGCTGAAGGGAGTGCCACAGATCAACCTGCTGGGTGAGAGCCTTCCCTGCGTCCCCGTCTGCTGGCGCCGGGCTTGGGGCTCTCATCCGGCACTGGGGAGAGGTGCTCCCGCTGGCAGGCTCCACGCTAACGGAGCTGTGTCTGCGGGATCGCTGCCGTGTCCGTTAAAATCGGGATGGATGGCGAGGGGTGGGAGTTCTGCCTGCAGGAGCAAGCCTTTCCTTGTGCGCCCATGGAAGACGAAGGGGCTCCGGTCCTGGCACCGCATCTCCCGTCCTCAGCTCTGCTCCTCTTTTCCAGGCGCCTGCATCGATGACACCATCCTGAGCAGGCAGGGCGTGGAGAACTTCGCCAAGCTGCCCACGCTGGAGGTCTCCCAGGGGCAGACGGTGGGTGCCCTGGCCCTCCTGCCCTCCCAGACGTCCTCCCTGCTCCAGCGCGGCTCCGCGCACCTCGCGGCTCTCCTGGATGAGCACATCCGCCGGCTGCAGGCTGGGGAGACGGGGAGCCCGGCCGAGCCCGCCCCTGCCCAGAGCTCGGGGGCTCACTGACGCTGGCCCCCGGGCCCCCGGGGTTGGCCGGGAGGCGGCTCCTTCCCCGGCTGCGGGCGGGGGGGGG